ATTAGCGTTTAGTGTATTCATAGCTTACTTTTATTGTCGTTTACGTCAATGACATGTCATTTATCTCAATGTTTTGACACAACATATTGCAAGTGATGTCTTCACTCTTATTCGTGTCCAATGTCTTGAGATGAGGTCCTCGTGGGCTACATGTGAGCACTTGTGCCCATTGTTTGCCATTAATATTGAACTCATTTCGAGACAATCATTGAAACGACTGAATAAACGGTTAATGAATAACAGGCTTACAGTTAATCTAATTATATGTTATATTTAGTGAATATTAATAATTAGGTCTTAAATGAAACCCCAAACACAAACAAATATGTTAATGATCTTAACTGAATTGAACTTAACCTGGTAATACAAACAATAGGACCAAGGTGGGCCGCTTGGAACTTAGGCATCTTCTTATGCATCCGATGCGCCGGTATGTAAATTGATCTATAATTTTGTGTTGGTGTCCATTGATATAACAAATTGTATGTATGTGTGGACAGGTATTCACCGCAATCTTGGTGTCCACATATCACGTGTCAAGTCTGTCAACCTGGACGCCTGGACACCCGAACAGATTGCTTGCATTCAAAATATGGGTAACTCTAAGGCTAGGGCTGTATATGAGGCCAACCTTCCGGATAACTTCCGGCGCCCGCAGACCGACTCAACTCTCGAAGCGTTCATTAGAGCTAAATATGAGCAGAAGAAGTACATCGCAAAGGAATGGGTCGAACCTCCGCCCCCTAAACCAGCCGTGAGATAGTCTTGTGTTTATTATTTGATTATTTTATTTATTAAACCATTGATTTGTGTCTAAAGTTTGATATCGAAGAAGAATTGCGTAAAGAAAAGGAGAAGAAACGACATAAGAATAGGACATTTCCAACCCCTGGAAGCGCTCTTGAAGTTCAGGTCCGTCACAATTCATTCAATTAATAGTTATTTTAAGGCTAACTCTCCGATCAATCACTTATTGTGTATTTGATATATTGTTTGATAACACAATCATTTGTTATAAATATGAACAGAATTTATATTCGCATTACATGTGAGTTCAATATTTCAAATGTTTTAGCAAACAGTTAATGTGTTAAGTCTAATGCCTGGGTTTGAAATAGGAAACTGAACATTTAATAGTGCGGTAAATCGTGAAAAATAATCAAGTCCATTAATTTAATTCAAGGTTCATTGAATTATTTTACCCTAGTTTAGAAATGTTTTGACCAATAGTTAGAATTTGAATGGAAAATAAGTTTGACATTTAGTTAGAAATATTTAATTAGTATTTGATACAAATTACAAATATCAATATCATTTCAATTTGAATTGGTTTCATAAGAATTGTGTTAAAAATATGCGGCATTTCAGGCCAACCCTCTGCCCCGTCCCAACTCAACTGCTGTGACAACAACTGCTATAAGTGCTGACAAAATCATACAAAAGAC